AGAGCGAACGAACGAACGGGAGACATACAGACATGCATACAGATAGACAGAGGACGAGAGAGAGGAGAGGAGAGGAGAGGAGAGGGAGAGAGTGGATGAATGAGGCTGAGGGGGTCGAATTTGCTTTCAGACCAATGTCCGAGTCTTACAGGCGTCTAGGGACTGGAGAGGAGGGGGCGGAAATGCACATTTTTTCACGAAAACTCGGCGATAATTCCTCTTGCCTGGTCCGCCGGTGGCCTCGACACCGGACTGGAAAATGCCGATTTGGATGCCGTGGCAGTGGCGTCACGACCGCATGGCAAGCTGAGAGCCCACCTGATGGGGCCCAAGCGACCGGACAGGGTGCAAGGGGCAACCACGGCCTCGATAAGCATGATCATTGGTCGCTGAGACCGACAGCGACAAGTCTGCCGTCACCGTTGGAAGTGGGTGCGCGGACTCGAGCTGATGCAATCTCATAGGGACGTTCACATGTCGCTGCAGTGGCCCTTTCACACGATAAAGGATGTTGCACACGACGAGGTCGGTCACCAAGGTAGGCAGCTACCTGCACCGTCGAGTCAGCCGCAGATAGCTAAGCCCGGAGAGGCAGGTCGCACAGCTGACCAATCAGGCGTAAGTCCAGCTAAGGACTGGTCACCTCACCGCCAGCTGATTGGTCCATTGTGAATGAGGGCTCTTAGAGCGCGACACCTGGACGTCAGGTTTTAGGCCAAGAGGCACGTCACAAGCTGACACAGGCCGTACGGCCTTTAGGCTTCTGCTTGAAACGGTAGCATATACACGCGCACACACGTGTCAGACACAAAGGAGGAGAGGCGTGTCGACATACGGATGTAAGTGGCCAGGCCGTCGGGCCCCAGGACAGCCGGTCGCCATGGTGGGCATAGTGAGCATCGTTTAAAACGGCCTGTCACAGCCCTGAGGTCGTATTTGGCCGCTAGGTTGCGTCGCTGCTGCGTATCTCGGCGACCTGGTCTGTTTCCCACGTGTCGCCTTGTTTGCCACGCCCTGCCGGCCTACCGTCTTCACTTCATTGCGGCTATGACAACCCAGTCACTAGGCCGTCGCCAGCATAGCCTGGAAAGGGTCAGAGTGTCGAAAGAGTTGGTGCCATTCCGGCCTAAACGGTTTGCGTTCTCGCGACGTGTCAACGATTTCTGCGCAGATGGCCTATCCGTAAGGCTGGCGCTGTGCAACTTAGCTTGACTGTTTGACACGAAGCCCAGATTTGGTGCGTTTCGTAACGGAAATAAAGTAACACAAAAATTAATGGCGATCCATCTGATGTGGCAACCGAGGAGGGCATCGATTCCGGCAACCACTGTCTATCGACAAGCTCGATTGATGATAGATTTATTGAATGGAACTAATGGGATATTGGAAAGGCTCATTTGGCCCATTCTCTACCGGTGAAGTTTATGGCCGAGTTTGCAACATTGACTTAAATGCACCTCCGAAAAGAACGACTAAGGATGATGCAATCAAGCACTGGTGCACACGGACAAACACGGAGCTGTGGCTATGCCAAAAAAAACCCGATTGTGTAGGTCTGGTCCTTCCTTCTGGGCGATAGTACACAGATTAGCTTAAAAGAGTTTGAGACCAATTATGCAACACAGGATTGTTGTGATCAGTTCACCACCTAAGCCCGTTGGACATAATTCTTTGCCTGCAACTCACGCCTGTCCCGGGAATAGAATTATGGCACCTCAACACACTGTCAAGGTCGCATAGAAAGGGCGTTGTAAATAGTTTTAAGCGCCAAATGAACTCATATTTGGGATCTTTATTGCCAGCGTCCCAGCCTCTTTTGTCGGACAGACCGTTTTGAGACTCAGTTGCATAAATTCAGCTCAAGGGGAAATGTAACCTCCGGTCGAGGGACTATTTTTCGTGTGTAAGTAGACTTCCCAGACTGCCAGTAGATGACATATGTGAGAGGTGTTCATCCTATTTCGGTTAGGCTGATGGGAAGACCGGCGGTTGAATTTTCCCACTATGAAATTGGTAGGTGTGACGCTTCCATTGAAGTTCTCTGTCGTGATTCGAGTCCCACTGGGCGAAGTTGGCGCTGCAGCCCGCCCTGGATGAGATCATCTTTTGCGAATCAAACCTACGTGAACTTCAATGGAAATGTAAGGTTTACTCATTTCACTACTGATGGTGGGAAAATTCAACCAAGCGAAGTAGGATGCATACCTCTCACATCAAGGGCCTATCACCATTTGGTTGTAATTTGACGTTGGCAAAGTACGACGCAACGCCATGAGCCCGAATAATTACGACTATGACTAACAGCATCATTACAGCAACGGATTAAGTGGTAGAAAGATAGAAATAAGCTA